AGCCTTGGCCTCTTTATAAAACAAACCAAATACTAATATAGTTATTCAAATTATTAGCATCCAGGAACCTATATATTGTTACCTCTATAGCATCCAGTTACCTCTATTGTACTCACCTTCTGTATGTAGACAACAATTCAGGATCAACACTGTGAACAGGCTTACATGTCCATCAACTCAGTTTGGGTTTAAATAAGAGTCATGTCAGATTTAAAGTAGTAGAAGGCAGATATAGTCTTTTCTTTCTCTTTTGCCTTCTATCTTTTGGTAGAATGTGCTTAGTTCTAAATTTTATTCGTGAGTTTAATTGAACTAAAAGGTGCTTTAGTGGTTTCAGCCTGATTTAGAGCTGCTTCTGAAACACAACTGCTTCACAGAAGTAGCAAGTTATACCTTTTGCACTAACTGTTCTTAATTGCTAATGTACATAAGTGATGCTTAGAGATTTATAAAGCCAAAATAGAAAAGAATATCTATGTTCAAACTTCCACCAAAATACTTAGTCTGTTAAGCAGAGGAATATTAGTCAGAATAGAAACACTTTTTTCTGCTTTTAAATCCACATTGGAGCAAATCTTTACCCTCGCAGGTGATTTAGTTTGCTGCGTGGGGAAACCAGATACGTGTGTGTGTGCCCAGCATTTCTCAGAAAGGTCAACCAGGGCGTGTCTCTACCTGTGGTTACTTTGCTATTTGTTTGGCCTAGGAAGCCTGATCAAATAATGCTGAGATGAAACTACTGCTGTCTTAGTATTGTTTATTTGCTTTTGTACACATTTAGAAACCAGCCAGTGCATCCCAGACAGCAGGCTTGAATTGGAATTACTGTCTGCAACTTTATGCTAGCTGTTTTCAGAATAGAATGAGAAAAAAATCTGAATAATCCATAGCTGCTCTTAAAATATTCCTAATGGATCAGATCTATTAGCTAGTATTGCTGTCAATGAGCCATTTGCAGTGTGAATAGCTTCTTTTCTTTTTCATATGATTAAATTTGGTTTGGCTGTTAGTACATCCGTTCCTTTCTTTCCTCCAAATAGAAAAATCATTTTCATAGATTCATAGTTGTACTCAAGGGAGCACACATAAAAGTCCAGTGATTCATTCATCAGATTTCCACATTTGAGTAAGCAGTGAGTTCAGACATCAGTCTGAAGTGATTTTTCTGAATTACCCAAACACTTGAACCAAGGAAGACAAGGAACTAACCATCTTTCCTGATTTTATTTCCTTCCTTACTTGTCAGAGATGAGCAACTCCTCCATTGTTTTGAGAAAGATTGTTATTTAATTCTCCTTCAGGGCCAACATGAGGGACTGGAAACCCAGTTTGAAATCTGTTTAAAGATTTCTGTCTTTTGCCATGTCAGGGTGAGACGATAGTGTGAATATCACTGTCTTATTTTTAATCATGCTTGAAAAGTCAGGCTGTTAGAAGCAAAGGCAGTGACCTCCTTTGCCTCTTTTAATCCCTGAGTTGCATGCCCTTCTTTCCCTCTTCCATGACTCAAAGATCTTCTCTAATGCACATTCTTTTCTTTTAAGACTCTCAGAAAGAGTATGCCTAAGTAGGAACCTTTTCACTTGAGAAATGGACAGTAAACAACCTTTGCAATACTTGTTTCAAAATAAATGTTTAATTTTGCGGGTAAATGAAATGAAATTGAAACAGGTCAGATGAATTTCCCAAGGTTGTATGACGCAGAAATTAATTTGAGTGTAGGAACAAAAGGCTTTTGATAACTAGTCTCTTATTTGATTCAGAACATCTATGTGATGCACAGTTAGGAATAGTAACAATGATATTTGCAGACACTTTGTTTCAAAATCTGCTAAAAAATGAAAAGGGAAATTTGAATGGCTTGTCCCAGAGCAAAGACCAGAGATATTTAAGATATTTTCTGCCTGGCTGAAGTCTGAAAGGATTGTATCTAGTCTTGGGGCTATGGCAATATCATCCAGATTTCTCTTTGTTTTAAAATGCATGTCCCCTCCTGGAATCAGCCTTGAGATATGTCTAGTTTGACATATGTAAATATTTCCAAATCAAATATTTAAAGACCATGGCAACAGAGAGAGGATTTATTGCTGTCCCTGTTTTATTATTTGATGCATTTGGATTGGCTTTATTTGCTTTGTCTTTCATGTGTGAAATATGTGAAAGATGCCATTTTGTCTACAAAAATGACAGCATCAAATGTATAGCAAGCAGGTTTCCATATGTCTTCTAAATGAACTCTAAGAGACTTTAATGCTAAAGAAGGGTAGACCTCTCTGGTTGGGAAAAACACAGCAACTGTCTTGACTGTTTGATCTGCATGTATAGAAAAAAAATATTTGATTTGTGGAGATATACACCCTGAAGTATTATTGTATTGCAGCTGATGTCTTGTGCATTGTTACTGGGCATTAGAAAGGTGTGACATACTAACAATGACAACCTGCTATACTGCTGCTGTTTCACATTTCACAGACAGCTAATTTCCCTTACCTCCCAAACTAACTGCTAGGAAGTCAAGCAACCTGCATGAGCATTTCTCTGCTTTCTTTAAACCTAGTAATTATGTTACAGCTGTTTGACACAGCTGTATGAATGTGTAAGTTTGCAATGGTTATACAAGCAGTCCACCAAGGAAAAAAACACTGGTTATCTCCTCCTGCTGTCAGAGGATAGTTGGAATAATTGAACAGCAGTGGAAGTCTTTGCATCTCTAATAGATGTTAGTGCTCTTTTTATTTTTTTTTTTTAATTGAGCATTTCCTTATACAGTATGAATTTCATTTTGTTTGGCTTCCTGTTTCTTGGGATGTTTTCCTGTGATAGAATTCTAGCTCATTATCTCATATATTAAAGCATTACTTGGGATGGCCACTCACTGTCAAATTCTTTTCTCATCATTGTAGTTTGCAAAGTATTTTGAAGATCTATTTCTCAAAACAAGGTTTCTTATATGAAATTCTATCTTTCTCTGTTTTGTAAATTATTAATGGACTTAATTCAGAGAGCTGCTTAAAAAATAAGCGACTCAGCTGATGCCTCAAGTTTTCTCTCTTGTTCTTTATCCCTCACATTCCTCCAAAAATATTGTCAGCTCATTCAGAAAATTCAAATGAGCCTTTGATATGACTTCCCCGCTGGCCAGCTGCAGAGCAGTGAGTCTGGGGGAAGAGACTGGGAGAAAAAATACCTCCCTGATAACATTTGCAGTCTTGCAAAAAGTGAAAATATATGACAATAGGAAGAAGTTTAAAACAGTGCAGCTGACTGCAGTGTCAGGGATATTCTGTTTGAGTGATTCTGTGGAGTCAGAGGATAGATGAAAAATACCTTTCCCAGTATAAAACTGTGGGGAAAATACAAGTAAGTAAAATGGAGCATTTTATTCAGTAATGTTAATCATTAATGAATCATTTGAAAAAAGATACCCAAACCAAACCCACAACAGAATCCAGCCAAAAAAAAAAAAAGGGCATTTATTGACCAAACACTGAGTTAAACAACAGAGTGCCATGGTAGGTTGAGAGAGCTGAAGACATTACATGATAAGGTAAAGTGACATTTGAGTGCCAATGTCATGGGTTTAAAAATGAGAATCTTTTCTATATATTTATGTGCTACATCTTTGTTGCTCAACATCTTCAGTTTGCTTCAGCAGATGGAAAAATGAATTGCAGATTAGGAGGAAAAAATGTGATGTAAAATTTGGTTGGCAAATTGATGCTAAATTTTTAGGATATAGGCCTTTTTATTCAGCAATATGATAATATATGTAGATGCTTATTTTTCAGGTTGGGCAAAACAACTGGAATATTTGGGTTTGAGAATTAGGGTAAACATTTTGTTGCAGAATTTGCGAGAGTGACCCTTCTGAATGGTTGCATCTATATATGTTTTTTTCACCATCATAATCCATGAATAAAGATATAACTTCTATGACTAAAATTACATTTCCATCCATTTAGCTGGAATTGGATTTTCCCCATAATTAAAGTATTAAAACTGTGATGTATGATTCAGAGAAAATTATCATAGGAATCAATGAATAGTAATAGATCAGTGAGCAAAGCACCTACAATTATATTTCAAGTGAGATTTTTCTATTGCATTTTTTTATGAGCAATTATCCAGCAGCTTGCATATTGAGCTTCAGATCAGGAAAACCAATATTTACAAAACGTACAATGAAAAAAACAAAATGTAATAATAGTTAATCAAGCAATATTTTTAAAAATAATTATTCTGTACCTTCCTGTAACATTTCTGAAATAAAATAGAAGCAGTTCAAACTCAGAAATACATTAAATTTCAGTTGCAGTCACAGTCGTCACTCAGTGTGGGAAATATGACCCTTGCATTTCAGGAGTAGCTTTTACTTTTACTTGAGGAGTAGCTCATGTGTTTGCTACACTAGTTTTACTCTCGCTGTGCTCAGAAGGGATTGTTGGACTGTTCTGGTAGAGTCACAATGGGCACCTGTTTTCTAGCACAGCCATTCCTGGGCCAAGTTTTCTCTTGCGTCATTTCTTGTTTAATACAAAGCAAGTTTGAGTTCTACAATTTCTGTGTAGTCTCCAGCCTAAGCTATTGTGTTGTAGCACAGACCTAACAGAACTTGAAGTTTATTTACAGTCCTTTATGGGCTTTGACTCTGTGTTTTGAAAACAGCTTTAAACACAACAGAAAAGCAGTGTATGGGTGGGTGTGGATATCTGGATTTTTAGGGCCGTGGACAGTGTGTTCATTTTAGATTTTCAAATGGAAAATATTTTGGTCAAAACTAGAAACTGTGATAAATCCCAGATTCCAGCTTTACTGAAGAATCATCTTACATTGTGTACCTACTTATACGTGAGGAGCTCAGAACTGTTGTATTTTTCTATTATTTTATTTTAGATCTGCTACCAAGAATAATGAAATACTATTTCGGTGTCAAGTACAAAAAAAAAAAAAAATACATCAGTGGGTACTGAAGCATTTGCTATTTCTGCTTTCTTTGACAGCTTTTTGGAAACTACAGCCTATTTCTGTATGAAACCAAAAATGGGTGAGAAGGAGGTGTCCCCACATTCTTTCTTCAGTATTTGGCATGAATTCAGTTCTGACTTCAAAGACTTCTGGAAGAAGGAAAACAAACTTATTCTTCAAGAAAGGTACATTTGTTTGTTTGTTCAAAGGATTTTCTCAAAGAATGTTATTGGGAGCAATCTCACAGAAACCAGTCAGCCACACTTCATTAGCACACAACCTATTGAATGCCTTTTGGAGTTTTCTCAGGTTTTGTTTTTTTAACAGATCATGACACCACCCTCACCACCCCCAATGCCCCAGTCATTCTAATTTTTTAATGGAATTTTAATACCAGTTTGTGCTAAAGTTTTTGGGGTCCATTACCTGAACAGTGGTTTTGGCAGAGCATGTAACTACTAAGCTACTATGAATCCAAGCAATGGAAGACTTGTTTTAGGCCTGAAAGTTGATTGAAGATTTTTATTAGCATATTTAGTCAGAGAAAGTCAAGGCATTAGGACATGGCATATTGTAAATATTTGTTTGACGATGCTGGGGAAAAGGAAGACAGAAGGAACAAGTCAATTAACCTTGTGTTAAAAAAAGCTCAGACTGAATGATATTGCAAATCACAGCCTGGGTGATGGGGTACACAAGAGCAAGTGTGGTATTATATGGCATAAAGAAATGAGACAGTAGCTTTGAAAATCAGCCATGGTGTCTGGTCCATGTTTTAGAAGAGTTATGAAGTCTATACTTATCTTCATGCAGATAGTCCATTGTGGTCACCCTTTGTTTGTAAAAATTATGCCAATAATTAATCTGTTGCTTAAAAAGTAATAAATTTCATATCAGGAAAAGTTAAACTTATGCAAACATGTAAATTCTAAGCATTGTTATGTAATCCTACAACTATTAGCAGCTTGAATTGAAGCTACATCTGACCATAAACATTGGTAGGATTGAAGCTTTAGATTCATTAAATTATTGACATCAGCCTGTTTCTAGGTAATTTGACAAGAACAGGCCCTATTTTCAAGTGTACTCATCCTATGTAATTGTCACAGACATCTGACTACAGGTTTAGAAAGTTACTGAAAACTTCCTGAGGCACCTGTATAGTCAATATTGTGTATACCATATGTATTTGCTGTAAGTGGGTACGTTTTGGAACAGGAAGTCTCACTGAAGTGAGAAAAACTGGATTCTGCTACTACAGCAAGAGCATGGTGCAAATGTTAACACAGCACAGCAGATCTCTGGGGATCTCATTCATATTACTGACTGTCTAAATTAATTTTATGTAATTAAGTATATCTCTTTGAAAATTTTAAGCAAAATTTTAAGCAAAATGTCCTTTTATTTCAAAATAGTAAGCTATTTTTCTTTTAAAAAGTCCAAAAATCCTCCAGAGGGTTCTCACAGGAAAATAGTTTTCTTTAAAAGACATTAAGTAAATTATCACAAAGCTTCTTCCTCCTTAAACATCTAAAGTTTAAGAGAAGAATGGGATTGAGATACAATCATTTGACCCTCTTTGAGTTCAGTGTATGTGTATACTAAGAAGATGTGTTGAAGCACCAGAGAAAAAAGCTGTCTGCCAGCCTGTCCCTTCTAGGGCAAGGGTGGCTTTAGCCTGAAAGGAGCTGAACATGTATAACTTACAAAATGGCTGCAGGGGCAAGATGTGACAGGGAAGGGCAAGGGCAGTGAGGAGGACATACAGTAGGAAAAGAAACTGGGAGATCCCTTGGAAGAACAGCGGGGGCACTGTTGTTCAAACCTGGACTCCGAACTTGTGGGTTGAAGGAGGCTTTCCCAGGGGCTAAACAGGACTGTGTAACTTCAGTCCAGGAAGTCACTGAAATTCAGAATAAAAATAATACATCCTGAATGTCACAAGTAGATTTTTTGTTTGAATTTTAACTTTTACTTGCCTCATCATGTTTAAAACTTCTGCTCTATTTGATTTGTTCAGGTGAGGCAGGGTTTAGACTTTGGGGACCTTTGATGTCTGGTTGTGCTCAACTCTCAGATCTTTGGTATGGTGCTGCTGTGTCAGGTCTGGCGAAGTGAAGCTGTCTTCATTACATTCCAGGAATTAGAATGTTTTGGCCAAATTAGCAGTAACATTTTTTCAAGTAAGACGTATCATTTTCCTGAAAATTAAGAGTCTTCTTTAGTTAAAGAACTGTCTTACCAAAGCCTTTGCGCAGAAAATACCTTTTCTCCAATCATAGTTCAACCTGATCTCTGAAGTTGTCTTTTAGGCTTTTTTTCTTGATTTCGCATTTCTGTCTCTCTTAATCAAAGACAAGGTGGTGTGCTATGAAGGTGTCTTGGTATTGAGAAATCAAAGGAGAAAAATCTAAATGGAAAAATACAAGTTGCCAGAGGTGTAAGAATGTACATCATGATGGTTTTCAAAATCTCGGCCTAGATCAAGAGATCTGTAGGTGACAAAAATCTGGAAACTGCCTATTGCCATTAAAATATAAATAATTTTTTCAAGAAAGTAGATTTTCCCCTTTAGGTAATGTTCTTGGAGTTTTTTTCTGCTGATAAATTTGAGAAGCAGGCTAAAACGTTAATGATGAGAGAAACTTCCTGTAATTGTTCGTTGGCAGCAAAATCAAGTGACAGATATGGTGAGACATTTTCAAAGACTGAGGAATGCCACCTTGGTGAGCTATTGACCAGGTTTCTGCCTCATGAAACATACTTTATTTGCAATAATTTTTTATAAAATGTGTAGCTTTATTCCCTTGTCTTTTTCAGCTTGATCATCTTTATCAAGCCCTGGTTGCTTTGGGTTTTTGTAGAATATTTTGTATTCCAGTTTCCATATGGACTGCTAATAGAGGCTCTTCCTTATTTAGTCTCTGCAAATATGTGTCTGTCTTACTCCTTTACAATAATTTAACCGAAGGATTTCTACAAATGGTATTTCCAAAGGTGGTACTATATTTTGTTAGTGACAGGTTAAGCGTGTATGTTCTAACAAAAGCAGTCAGACAGTTCTTATTTTAAACACTTTTCACTTGGCATTTCAACTTGCATATTGGTTTGCCAGGCATTTATATGCAAAAGATAAACATTGAGGTGTCAGACTTTGTATTTCCTTAGGAGAAGATGAGAAAAGAAAAATGGTGCAAAGTTAAAAACAATTAATTTTTCTGAAGTTTTCTACTGCTTTCACTCTTCTCTTATTTGAAGTAAAGAAGAACTAGAAAATACCATCTGTAGGGAAAATTATACATGATAAACTTTTAAATACAGTAGAAATAAAAAGAAAAAAATACATCTGAAAATTTTCAAATACTACTTCTTTCTGATTAAGCATCTTTAAAAAAATCCAAAATAAACAAAAAGCCCACCGAAAAACAAACAAACAAAAAAAAAGGCAAAAAAGCCCACAAGAAAAGGAAAGCCATAATCAAACTTAATGGGGCATGTTTTGAGTTTTTCCATTGTGGTGTTGTTGTCATTGTCCTTCAAATATATTTATAATATGTCAGTCATAGTCTATGGTTTTCATCAGACTTTGCAAACTCTTGAAAGGTTTATTGTCAGTATAGCCTGCATTTTGTGCTTAATCAGCAAGAAAGACTGGAAGAGCTGACATATTTTCCCTAATATTTTTTTGATGTTGTTTGAAAAGAGAGCATATGATTTTGAAATTCACAGGCTTCCTGTTCAGCACCCTTATTATCTATACATGAATTTGAGGTGTTGCATACCCACAGATGCACGTTGCTCTCTGCATATAGTCAGGTAATGCACAGCTGCAGTAACAGCTCTGCAAAAGTCTCCCCTTCTTAGGAAAACTCTTAGGCAATCAGACCACCAATCTACAAATGCCAAGTTTCCCCTCCTGTTTTGGAAAAAAGTGTCTTTTATGAGCTGACCTATAAATGTATCAACCCTTTTCTCATTAATCTCTTTTCTTTAGCTTCTAAAAATGTTTCTTTATGTTTCTGAGTAAGATGTAGTCAATCTGAAGTGCACTATTCCAGTCTAGCATTTCTGTGAGAGCAAGAAGTATTTTTATTTTTCTTGACATCCAGCAAAGGCCTGCAAAATTGTTGCCCAGACCCTACCATTTTCCTACCAACCAGGAAAAGATACCCTATCCTAAGAATGAAAGAGAAAAAGAGCTCATGAAGCAACATTCCCAGAGGGAAATCTTGAAATGTTCTAAAAAATTTAAAAGTTAAGCAACTGCTGGTCCTGGAAATAAAATATAAAGCTACAGTTATTTATCAGAAAATCTCATATTGCTGTGGACAACAATGATTCATCTTTAGGACTACATCTTTCCTTTATGGCCGTAGAATAGACCCTGGCTCATTACAGTAGCAAAAATCAGCAAGTCCTTTAGGAAATTTTATGTTTTAAAGTTCCATTGCTGTCAAATGTTAGTATCAATATCATCAGGTCATACATACCAGTTCAGACCTTACTAGAAAAGTATCAGTGATATAGCAGAAGCTCATATGCAGGGCCACAGTTCCTTCTTCGCTCTCTCTGGGTGTGAGTGAGGTGTTTACACTTGTTGGTCCTCTCCAGCTCTGGATGTGCTTCCCTCTCTTCAGACCGTTTGCTGTTCTAGAGGGCCTGTGCAACTTGGGAAAGATTTACCTTACATTAGTTGTATTTCTAGATGGGAGAGCTGGAGGAAGAAAGAGTGAGGGGCAGATGGAGGTGCCCTGTAAATGCGGGTATAAGGTAAACAAAGGCCCTTGCCTTTACTAAGACTTGTGTTGCTGAGCAGAGGCTGTGTCAGGGATGCCAGCAGAGGAGAGTTCATAAGCAGGATCAACACAATGGTAAAATTCTGTAAGTCCCTGATATCTTGCATCACACTAAGCTTAAGAATTTCTTTTGGCTGACTTTATTCAACCCTTTAACTCCCACGATAAATCTTTGACACATTAAAAATAATCTATAAACTCAGAAAAATGCACTCGTCTCTCAAATGCAGAAGTTGCCCATTCCCGTAAGAATAGCAGTTAAGCTGGCACCTGGTGTGTCACACTGTGTATATCTAGATGAAAGGGAGATTCCTGGCCAGCATGTCTCCACAGCTCATTGATCTCCCTCTGCAGAAAGACTGGTATGTCTCCCTACAGACTCCTCGGCA